CCATAGGCCGGCTCACCTGGGAACTACTAACCTTATTAAAGACTGAGGCAAAGAAGGCATTAAGGACCTCAGCCTTGTCCTCATCACTAGTGACTAACGTACCCTCTGTGTCCAGTAGGGGCTGGAGGTGATCTTTAGCCCTCCTTTTGTTATTAATGTATTTATAGAAGGACTTTTTGTTGTCCTTTACGGAGCAGGCTAGTCTAAGTTCCAGTTGGGCTTTTGCCCCCCTGATTATCTCCCTACATGCCCTAACTTCCTCCCTGTAATCCTCCCTGGATGACTGCCCATTCTTCCAAAACTTATAGACATCCCTTTTTCTTTTGAGGTGTTCCCAAATCTCCTTGGTCATCCAAGCCGGTTTTCTACCCCGGCGACTCGATTTCCGGCACACAGGAACAGCTCGCTCTTGTGCCTCCAGAATTTCCTTTTTGAGGAGTAACCAGCCCTCCTGTGCTCCTTTACCCTTGAGAGCTGTCTCCCACTGTACTCTATCAATCAGACTTCTAAACAGTCCAAAGTCTGCTCTCCCGAAGTCCAGCTTGGTTGTTTTAGTGCTCCCCCTCCTAACTTCCCCTAGAATAGAGAATTCTATTATCTCGTGGTCACTATGCCCCAGGTGTCCTCCAACCATCACATCTCCCACGAGACCTTCTCTGTTCACAAACAGCAGGTCTAGGGGAGCACCTTCTCTAGTCGGAACACTGTATGTTACCCTGACTGTGAATGCACTCATGATTTAGGCTCTTATACAGTTATCAATACAGTACCTCATAACGAAAAAATTGCACTCATACGAGTAAACACAGCATATGTGGGAACACATACAGCTTACATGTGACATCTCCAACATTCTAATCAAAGCTGACAAGAAAGAAAATCCAACCCTGGAAAACGTACGACAAGCTATACAGAGGAAGTTTACAGACAACTTTCGGTCTTTGGTTTTTGTAAGATAAATCACAATTTCCAAGCAATAAAAACTGAAAGCCTAAAAAATAAACAATTCTGATGCTATAAAAAGTCCTCATCACAGCAGTGTGTATAAAAAATAACCGGATGAACATACCAGGGCCACCTTCAACCCTAAGTAGCTTTGCTCTGTTGTTACTGTTTGGCTTCACTTACTAAACTGTCTTTATCTTGACCCACAAGTTTTTCTCCTCTTTGCTCTTCTGATCATCTCTCCCACCCCAGTGGGGGAGCACTAACTGAGCAGCTGGTGGGTGCCTACTCCTGGGTGGGGTCAACCCACCACAAGGTATTAACAGTCATTCACATCTGTCCTTGAGTTAGTATGGACCTGGAAGCTAGGTAAGGCTGCCTTGTGTTCCATTCAGGATTTGGAGCCTCCAAAACTGTGTAATACAGTGTTCATACAAGCTCATTAGCCCACAGATGTTTAATTAGCTGATAGGCTTTATTATTTCCCTCTTTTGCAGTTGTAATTTTGGTCAGTAATAAAGATCGTGGTTGGCATTTTTCATTATCTTTTTCATTTTGATAACTTCCACTTTCTCTTTCAGCTACAGTTGCGAAATTCACTTTAGCACATTTAATTTCATTTTTTAATTTTATTTTATCTACTTCTGGTTATCCTCTCATTCTCTCTTTTTTCCCCATAGCATCACAGGCTGCAGCTCAGCAGAATGATTAGAGTTATATTTTTAAATTCATATTGATATTCTCAAAAGCTCTTTAAAGCTAACATCTTGAGTGGAGACACTGCTACAGCCCAAAGCCATCATGATACTCTGGTTGATTAAGTCATAAAAAACAACCGTGAAGCAATCACCTGCAACAGTCATCAATTTCCTTTGATAATACAAAAGTGGAAGAGATCCACAGGAAACCTGTCAGTTCTAAGGTCGCTCCGTGTAGTACAACAAGCAACATTTAAAATATTCCTGACAAAGCAATAGCAACCTGCTCCTAAAAGTTTTGATGCTTTTACTGTGACTCTTTCCTTCTCTGTTTAATTTCCCTTACTAATTACTCCAGAAAAAAACACGTTTCACAAAGTTACTCCAAGAGACATCTTTTAGACAGCACTCCAAACTGTGAAATAGGAGTTGCAGGAAGCAAATAATGTTAGATCTTTGCAGAAGAGAATTTGCAATATTCTTTGATTGGAGAAGCTATTTCTGATGTTACTGCGTACAGCGAGCCCAAATGAAAATAAACAGACTGAGACAAACACCTACAATTCCAGTGCTTCATGTAAAAAGTAACACTGGCAGTTGTTACATGGTGCTGATTTAATGACTGGAATAAAACAAATACTGCTGCAGGTTAAGAAGTGTCCTTACGAAGCAGGTACTCAAATGTGCACCACTAACTGACCTGCTTTTCCATTTTTTATTCTGCCAATTGTTGTAGTATCTGAATGCCTCAATCACTACATTTTTGCATTTAAGAAGAGAAAACATACAAGACAAAACGTTCATCCTCAGAAATTCAAAGATTTTAGCGCGTACTTCCACAAGCACTGACTTCAAGTAAAACGCGCTAGTTATCCGCAGCGGTTGGTGTTAAGCACCATTCCGTCGGACCCCAGCGCTGCACAATCAAAGCAAACAAGGTATCACGTATCATCGAGACTGAACAATGTGACTAAATTATGAGCAGTGCCTTGGCAAGCAGTTATTGTAATGGATTTCTACGAATGTCAAAACAGTACTGTAGACTCTTATGATCATCTCAACAGAAAGTAAAACTGACTCTTGACGAACTAAATGGCAGCAGCAGTATTAGCAATCCTCTATATACCAAGAAATTGAAATGACTGAAGTTCCTCTTCAGCTAAAAAACTACACATGAAGAGCCAAATGAGCTTTGCAAGAGCTTCAGTTATGTTCCAGAAGCTAAACTAGCAAACTTTGAAGAGCTGCAATTTGCTTCTAGCCGCAAAAAACTCTGCAGTCTCACAGAAGAAAGAAGCCAAAGTTCCTACAATATATTCTCCCATGTTACCCTCTCCTTTTGTGGAATTGGGCTCAAGGGAGATGCTATAACCCTACACCAGCTGATTTCTGCTACTCTGTGATTGCAGGTACTGGTCAGAAGAGGGTTATCAGTTATCTGGAATTAGTCACTGCGCAACATCAAGAAAACAAAATTTCAGCTTTCTCCACTACATACCTTGTTTAGACTCCTGACCTTCCAGCTTGCTGTCTTCTTTGAGAGAAGAAGTAGAGTCTATACTGTTATCCTGTCTGGAAACAAGTAAGACAACATTTTCATCTACGTCTTTTATAGTTTGAGAACTTTTCTGAGAAACATGTACTTTAAATAAAGAAATTATGTGGTAATAGGCCAATAAACCAGCTACAGTAGGCTAAAGGAATGTACAGAGTGCTAATCTGAGCACTTGAGAATTAGATTATTTTTTTTCACTTTGCCTAGTTATACACAAGAATAAAGTAATTATTTCCACTACATCCTCGCCTTTCAGAACAACAATCCTCACTGGTAGCCCCTCCTATCCCTCCCTAATATTAGAAGCTTTTCTCCAAAACTCATAATAAATTGTCACACAGTTAAATGATTTTGAAAAAATAAAATACAGTTTCAGTTGCATTCAAATTCTATTTACTGGGTTTTTTTTCAATTAGGAAGATATTTTCCTGAAGTTACCATCTCACCACCACCAACCACCTCTCCTACATCACAATCTCATAGTTTCACACAGGGACACTTTTTAAAACTAAATGCAACTCAACTGTCAAATTGTATTCAGTATCTACATTTATATCTTCTATTTAAAGATTCGCACCCTCAACCTGTAAGGTTTCAACTGCTTTATACAACGGATAAGGAAAAGATATTTTGTGAAATGTTCATGTCCTTCATACATTTTGCACATATTGGTTATACAAACCGTGAAAATACTGTGAATTACACAGGAAGAAGGAAGGCAGAAGGATCCAGAATCACAGGAAAAGTTCAATTGCCATGTTTAATGAGCATTTTGACAGTAGTATTGCCAATTTCCTACTCTGAATGTCAGTGTGGCATCGGTTTCATACATATTAATAAGGAATCAATTCAACTATCCTGCCTGTGGGACCTAGACAGCGTTATAAAAAGGATAGCACCATTCTGGTATCACTGATGTAAATATGATGACTTTAACAACTTGTTTTCCAGTAATGGCCGGAAGGCCCTCCCTAAAATTGAATACAGATCTATTTTCCCCATGTTCTCAAAAATTTTCTTTTTTCAGGTGTCCAATGGATATGTCAGGAAGGTGAACACCGTAATACTTATCGCCATCTTGGTCTGAGAGACAGTTATTTTGATTGTTATTCCCTTTTCTGTTGTTGCGGCAATCAATAGATGTTTATGTTTCTCCCACTTTTTGTACTCATTGCACCATAAACATGCATGGTAGCATGCAATAATTGATTAAAGAGAATGTGTAGCTGTTTTCACATGCACGTAGCACCTGAAAAAAAGATTTTTATATGTTCTGCATCTTAAATAAGGAAAGAGAAAGGTACTGTCCAGTGCCATTATAATAAACTAGGAACAGACAATTTACTGTGATGCGTTTTTCTCATAATTCAGTGATATGTATCCTTTCAGCTTGCTTTCCTACTTGGTCAACTCAAGAAATATTCTCTCAATCTTTTAATTTCTGTTGGACATTCCATTCTCAGACAGGTTTGAAAGAGAAGGAATGGATACAAACTAGATGTTCAAATAGCTATGCTGAGCAGGAAGTTCTGTATACATGGCTAAACCCTTCAGAAAAATATTTAAACTTTGCCTCTTCACAAACAAAGAGAGTTTGCTCATTTATTTTCATTTGCTCATTACTGGGTGGGGTTAGGCCAGAGGCCAGCACAGACCACCAGCTGAATCTGTCCATGATGCTGTCACAGCACATCTTCCCAGAAATTTCAGGTTTTGCTCTCCAGTGACTTGCCAAGGCTTACCACACTCAGGTCTCTGTTGCATTATCCTGTCCATTAGGTTATGTGTTAAATGGTGAGTCACCATAAGCACAAAGGCCCGGTGAGGAGCAGAGGAAAATGGCAAGCAGAGAAACCCCAGTAACTTCATCAGTGCAGAGGCATCACCCTGCCTGAGTTGGTCCCAGGGCTGTGAAAGGAGAAAAAACAGACTACTTTCTGGGAATGACACCTATTAGGAGCAGTCAGCTAGAGAAATCACTTTACAGGCTGAGAGGTGTGTGTTGGGTTTATGCAGTGGGGTTTTGGCAGAGTGGGAAGGGCTACAGGGACAGCCCCTATAAGGAGCTGCAAGAAGCTTCCTCGGCTCCAAGTCAGATCTGCCTCTGGCCAGGGGTGAGCCAGTCAGCTCTTCTGTGAACAACATATTTAAAAAGGGGTCAAATAAACCCACATCACATGGGATCTGCAGTTGAGAGAGCGGGGAGGTGGGGAGGCCTGCCCCCCCCCCGCCCTCCTGCATGAGTGGCTGCCCGCACTGCCACTCAACTGAAGATGGTCATAGTGGTGTGGCTCGGAGTGCTGCGAAGTGCCCCGCTCCCCGGGTGCCCACTGGCCAGAGGTCATCCTGCCAGGACTGCCAAGACTTGTCGGGCCAGCTGCAACAGAGGGAGGACTGAGATGTGAGAGAAACAACTTAAGAGCAAAAGCTGCTTAGGCTGTCCCTATCCCATCCTCCCTCACACACACGCTTCATCACTTTGAACTGAGGACTCATCTCTGCATTGGACAGCAGTGTGTCACTTGGAAAGATCTGATCTTGCACCAATAGTATCCAGGCCAGAAACTTCACATCTCTAGTATCGCCCTGAGCTCTGACACCAAATTTCGCTGAGGAATCACCATCACCCCTTTGTCGGAAAACTCAGAGTGACCTCTATGGTCCAAACACTGGCTGTGAAATTACCTACACCCATTTTAACCGCTACGTAAAAAGAAATTATTAACTGAAAAAAAAACCCCACGCATCAAAACTTGCTGTAAAGTTTCCTCCTGTTGCCTTGACACTATCACTGATTGCACAAAACCCACGCTCCTTCAAAGACTACCTACTGTCAGCAAAAGAATTTTTAGAAGCCAAAAGTATTTTTACAGCACATTTTATTCTTTCGGAATTGATTGGACTGGACTGGTAGTGAACGAACACTGCTTTCCTGAACAGGTGGGCACTCACCACCATCTTGTGGCCACGCAGAAGCATTTCAGTTCATAGTTCAGTTCTGCTCTCGACTTCCTAATCTTGCTTTATTTGCTTGTTCTTAAGAAATATTTTTTCCTAATTATGTATACTGCAGCATAGATTTAAGAAAGGGTAGCACAACATCATGTCTTCCAAGCAATGGGACCAGAAGATATGCTAATCTAAAGCTAAGGCACAGTATACAAATTTAATACCCTCTTCTTTTCATGCCATGCTAGTATGCGACCACAGTAATTTGGAGCTCTCTTTTTATCCGTCTTTAAAGATACTTCTCATCACTCTTCTGAGATTAAAAAAAAAAAAATGCTGAATTTGTAATAGAACAATATTCAGCAGAAAGAAGTTAACTCTTACAGTTTCTTGCTAACAAATGCTGTAAATTTGCTCTATGCTAGCCTTTCATGTCGGCATGCTCCACGCTAGTGCAACGCTCACCTGGGCTCACGTACCTGGATTCCATACAGAACCTTTTACTCTCAGGAATCTGCACAGCAGCCACTTAACTTAGTATCACTCTGTTTTCTAGTATATTATATGATGAGACGTGATCAAGGAAAATTACTTCATTCAATAACTTCATAACTTGCTCTGAATCAAAGACAGGATCAAAAACCAGGTCTCTGTTAAATCAAAAATACTGACTAGAACGTGAAATTTGGATTACTATCACTACCTTTCCCATCCATTTGTTTCTATTTAATACACCCAGATGAACCAACCAAATCTGCAAATAAGAGGTACTTTAATCTGCCCAACACTGGTGTATTATCTTGTATTGTCTCAGCAGTTTATTATGTTTGTGCACTGAATCTGGACCAGCTGTAATCAGGTCAGCAATGAAACAGAAAAGCTTTTTATTTTGTCTTCTACAGGTGATACATTGCGCTGACAACTAGTACTTTCTTTTCTGCTTCACTACTTCTGTAGAAACTGTCAGAAAGAGTTCACCCCTTCAATAAAAAAGTGACTTAGTAAAATACTACACAAGACTTGTCTTGAAAAAAACAGACAAGTACTTTAAGAAAAGGTTAAAAGTGTTGGCCTTTATAAAACTGACAGATGTTAACCTAAGATTAAGAAACCAGAAGCCTCTGTTCTTGAAACTCCAGTCATGCTACAACATCCCTAACTGAGAACATGGGGAGAGGCAAGTGTCAGTGCTGCTTCAACTGAGGCAGGAATGAAGGAGCAGAAAGAAGACTGGAAGAGAAGGGACACATCTCAGCTGAACTGCAAACACACAATACCCTGACCTAAGTCGGAAGGGGATACTCACTTGTTCCATTACCACAACTCAACTGATGGGAGTCAACACCACTATGAAACCCACCTACCTGCTCAAGATATATTTAACACTGTAAAGCGATAAGGCCATTTTTATAATTTCAGTGCTTGCTAGCAGTCACAGCTCATTGTCATTCAACTAAAGTAATCACATAATTAAGGATGTAGCAATTGGGTCTTTCAACGTTACATTTGATAATTTCTCATGAAAAATCCCTGGTTTGTTCAGTATTCTTAAATTAAGTGTTTCGTCTTTTACTCACTGACTGACTGATTCACCTCCAGTCTTGTCTCCTTCATCTGCCTCCTCCTCAGTATCAGAATCAGCTCCATTCTTGCCTAGATATACAGTTTCAAACATGAAAATTTAGGCAGGTAATATAATTAATGCTATATAGTTAGACTTACTCTTAATGATTAACTCTATTGCAATCAGTAGAAGAGGTTTCTTCTCCCCAGTTAAAGCAAATGTTCTAAACTCAGACTTAGTCAAAACGAAAAACTGAGTTTTCTGCTAGCTGCACGGTTGGCATTTTTCAGTCACACTGTATTACGAAAAAAACAGAATAGCTATTGCTAGTGCAATACTGTAGGCATTAAAAGGAGACAGAATTAATAGAAGGAACTCTGCAGCATTCAAGATTCAAAGAGCTCCACTTAACTGAGAAGACAGAAGTATGTTTACAAATAAATTCTGCAGCTCTTACATACCAAGTGGAAGCTCAATACGATACTGAAAAGCTGGAACGTCGTATCCTTAAAGTATATGAACTGTCTGTCTCAGCAGAGCAGAGTGATCCACCAAGAATCCTTCAACTACACCACATACTCTACTGCAAGTGCTAACACAACTGAACTGGTATTACTGTATGTCAGACTTCCCCTGAAGAGAACCAGGAGCAAACTTAATCTCAGTTTACCTAAAATAATGGATTTCAAACAATACTATGTGGCATCCAATTATTATTACCCAGCTGGCTTGAATTGAAACTGAATGTAATTAACTAATTAACTAAGGTTGAGACCCTGCCTACAAAAGGCGGGCCACTTCCTCCTGGCTGTGGAAGATGCAACGGCATCTTTGGAGCTGCAGCCCAGGTGAGCAACACTTCTACACTCCTAGCTTTACTTTTTCCACCAAGTCAAAAGCTTTGTTCTTAGTTTGGGCAATAAGGAAAAGAAGCTTATACTACTGTTTTCTGAATGTGTCCCTAATAGCTTCTAAATCAACAGATGATTTCATCCAAGCTTAAAAGATCAAAACCAGCATATAAACATATATATATATATACACACACTATGTGTATACATACACTATTAGCATGAGTATATATGTAATACTAATATACGTACGTATAGTAGTATATATACACACTAATATACGATTCTTAGTGTGGGTGTGTGTATACATATATTAGTAGCTAGACAATGGAGTGAAAATCCAGTTTAGAAGCAGACTATTCTCTGGTGTACAGTGGTGCCTAAAAGTTTCATTCATACCTTCAAGTATCTTCAACAGTTTTTTTTCGGATAACAGCTCCAACTGCTCCAAGCAAAGCCTTTTGATTTCATCCACAGAACAGTTCTAAGAAGACAGACAAGACAAGATCACGAGCTGCCAAAAGTTTCTGAGGACAGAGTAGTTACAAACGGTAAGTAGTACTCCAAATGTACTGAATGAAGAATTAACTCAGATTGCAAGCCCCTTCCCTATTCTGGTCTGCACTGACGCAACTACTGAAGAACACCAGTTAGGTGTTTCAGTTTTGACCACCACCAGAAATAGTATGCGTGTGTGTTTTCTTCTGAAAAATTAAGCAATACACACTATCAGTTATTTGGCTGACAGCTTGTAGTTTTCACTGCAGCTGCAACACTGAGTAGTAGAAATACTGGGACATATATGTGAAGCATGGAACAGCAAACAACTGTAGCCCTGATTACTCTTAATTCTCCATTACTCAGGAGCAGGTGGGTCACATAACTAAGCCCACAAAGACCAGAGCCAACTGCTGAATCCAAGTTCACTAACTGAAGCAAATGTTGCTATTGACAACACATCAACAGTCGTATATCATAATAAAGAAAACATAGGAAATACATAAATTGTGCTCCGTTTCTCAGGCTTGATACATACCACACACTGCCACAGAGTTTATGGGTATTTCAGTTACCTTCCTGTCTTTCATACTACTTGGTGTCCTCTTGGTGAAAAAAAGTGGTCATTCCACACTTTCAAATGAACTATGATACCACGTGCAAGTACCCAAATTAGGAAGTGTTGCGCATATTGTAACATTCACGATCCTACTGTAGATTTGGCTCTACACCACCAGGCAACTTTCAAACTCAGTAATGCCTTTGCGTCCAGCTGCTTCAGACCTCTTTTCTAAATGGATGAGACTGTATGCAATGCACTACGTGTTTAAAATGAAGAAGTCCTGCCTCGCTTATATTAATATGATTCATAAAGATACAGACAAAAATTTTAAAATTACGAACAATCACAGAAATGGCATTTCATCTGCAGCCTCTTCTTCTGTACAGGCTGCTAGCCTAATTTATTTTTGCCAAGTCCTGCAGTTCGCAAGACTCAAAAAGCGTGATGTTCTAAGCCAGTAAAGCTCTAGCAATATGACCACTAAAGTCCACAGAAGTTACAGCTTCAGAAGCTGTTTATGTAAAAGAGGTTCTATTGCCTTATCTGAGACACTAATTTAATACCATAAAAAGAAATTCAGCTGACACAAACAGAAATCAAACTTTTATTAATAAATAAGCATATTTATCAGTGAACAGCACTACTGAATTTACTCCACGCCATTATGAAACTCCATTTAACTAACCAGTACAG